TTAGAGTAGTTTTAATGGCCTGCTGTTCCCCCTTTACCTTATTTTCTTCTCCTTGTTATAACAGAAGTGAAATTTTCCAAAATAGTTTGTAGGATGATTCTGGCTCCTGCACGAGATGCTGCTAGGAAGAGGCAGTAGCACAGCAAGCTCTTACCTCCTGTGTGAGGTTGAATTGCCAGGGCCGCTGCCCCGCAGTGTGGTCGTGATTGAATGAACAGTTATGTTCTGAGATGGGTGCGCGTGCAGCCTGATTCGGGATGATGAACTGGAACAAAAGATTTGGTGGGTCAGCTCCTTACTGATCCACGGGGCAGGAAATGGCAGGCAGAACCCTCTCCGAACCCCCTGAAGTCCACCAAGTTGATCACAAGAGAAACAAGGTTGCCCCCCACTTCTAACTTTAAAATTCATGCAGAACCATCTTCTGTTCATTTTCTCACCCTTCTCTGCTGCTTTTACCCTTCCCACAATGCACAGCAACCCAGAGGGAGCCTTGGCCATCATCTGCTTGTGGCTGTTGGGAGTTGGGGGTTCTGCAGGCCTGGCGCCACCGTCCCCCAGCTACGGTTTAGAGCAAAATCTGTGAGACGGCCCTTGAAACACCATGTAACCGTGGGTTATTCTGAAAATAATCTTTGTGAGTCCAGAGAGAGCAGGACAATCAAATTCTGGGTCACATTTTATTTTGTTGGGTTTGTCTAGTGTGATACTGTGTCAGGAATGAGTAACCTAAGTAGATGAGCGTTTGGTTTTCCCAGGGACATGAGAAGTAATATCTCAACACCAAGTTCAAAGGATGCAGCTTAAACCTGGCTACTGGTCGTAAACATTACCAGGTACGTAAGGCAGGCTGGGAGGTGAAGTCACAGTAGATTATATGGCATAGCATACTGACAATGGAATTGGGGGTAGGAAGGCTCCGGTTCAGCCCTGGACACTCTTTGCTAGTTGTGTAACACTAAGCAAGGGCTTCGGTGGGTGACTTCCCTAGTGGCCCATCACCATCCCTAGTGCCATCTGGGTGGTACGACGCTAGGCAGCTTTTCCCTGTTAGGTTGCTATGCCCATTTTCCTTCAGGAATGAAAGATGACCTTGGGCAGGTTATACATTTTCTCTGTACCTCAGTGTCTTCATCTTTCAAATGGAAACATGAGTGTCTTAGCAGGTATTCTGGGGCCTGCTGAGTCAGGCTGGAGATTTCAGAAGGGATCAGGTATGCAGAAGTGCTGGTTAAACGATTAGATCAAGTCCCAATGTCACTTTCATTACCCTCACTGCCACTGGAACAGGACATTCCATGTCTATTTATCTGCAAACCATCACAGCGAGCTGGACGTAATTTCTACTTTGCACATAAAATTAAAACCCGGGAAAATCAAGTCATTCACCCAAAGGCATGAGCTATTGGCAAACAGCAGACTTGAACTCATGCTCTCTGACTCCAGGTATATATACAGAGTTTTTGGAGACTTGCTTTTTTCCCATCTAAAGCATATTGAGCACCAACTGTAGGTCAAGTGCTGTGCTCAGGATGGTATTCGAGCTGAGCAGGGCCACTGTCGCCATGTAGAGTGGACCATGCCTCATGGCGGGCGCTGTGCCGTGTGCTGCAGGGTGTCCAGCAGCGTCCATGTCCTCTCCCACATAACATACGAGGACCTTTTTTTGTCCAGGACAGTTTCAATCCAATGCAAACAAAAAATGGGTGAGGCGCAAAGTTGCAAACCAGTTCAGTCAGTCCTTGGAAGTTTCTGGAGTGACTTAAATAGCCCTGCCAATGTAGGTCGCTATTTTTAAGGCTGAGCTAAGTGTTTGAAAGTGGTTCACACAGTCATGATCTCAAGTTGAAGCTCCAGACATTGGAGTTGCAAGGAATCTCAAGGCCTCGCCGGAGACAAGTGGAAGTTGACCTTCTCTCTGCATCGAGGATCACACGCACAGCTGGGATTCCTGGGTCCTGGGAAACGCTTTCTGATATTTTCTTCTCCTTTGAGAACGGCTGAACTCACTGACTTCTGACCTGATAGGAAGGTGTCATTGATTGCTTCAGCCCCTTCTTGCCCTCCTCTCGCCAGACTGGGAAAAAATAGACACCTGGGCCTTTTTTCATTTGCTATTTTGAGGATGAATAAAGCTGTTTATACTAGCAATACCACCCAAAGTCCTCTGTGCTCTTAAGGGGTAGTTGGGCACCGATTTAGCTGAGCCTTTCTACTTCTCACTGTACCCCGTGCCAGGCAGCAGTCCTTAGCAAAGCCCATTTCCTAGTTTCCTGAAGATACAGCCCCTTACCTCCCCCTTGCAGAGAAGAATAAACCTCAAAAGGGGACTTTTTAAAAGGCCTCGGCCCCTTTAAAAAGGTGCCCCAAATGCGGACTTCTGGACTTCCGCATAGAGTTGTGGCCTCAGGGGCGCATCAGAGGTATCTGTAAAGCAAAGTCCCAGGCTTCTGCTTGTGGAGTACTGGCCCAGCTGCTGCACATTGGCTGGTGGCAAGGGGCCACCTCTTTGCAGCGGAGGTAGAAAATCTACCTTTCTGCAGCAATGGGGAGGGAGACATTTAGGAGTGATGGGAAGTTTGGCGTAGCCACAGCGTGTGGGCCTGAAGGTCCCTGATGCATCTCCCCAGTAAGCAGAGTGCAGACCACCCGCTTCTGAGGCTGGATCCTGTTGGGCCCAGTGGTCCCGACACCACACTGCCTAGAAGCAGGAGTGAGTGTCCTCCATAACTGTGACCTTGGTTTTGCTCAGGACTGTTCTGGTTAGACACTTAGAGAGTGAGGTTTTTCCTTCTTGCACTTTTAATTTGCCAAGTTCTACTAAAGCCTTTCCAACCCGTGTATTTTATGTCAAAACATTAACAAGCATGTACTCATGTTTGATTCTGATTATTCAAGTATTTGCTTTATATTGGCTGATGGCCCTTGACCTAAATTAACTCAATGTTTATGGATTTTTCCAATATTGGCACTTCATTTGGTGTTTTATGACAAAAAGATTTATTTGAAAACGTCTTGGTGAACTCTTCCTGCTGCCTACAAAACATACTGTACAGGACAGAATGCAATTTGGAAAAAAGATTCAAGGTTTCTTCAGCTCGTTAGAATACTGTGTTTTTACATGGAAATTATATGATGAGGCCTGTGTCATAGTGATTTTGACTGGGGGCGGGAGAGAGAATGAAAGAGAAGAGGCCATTTATTTCTTTTAAATAAGTTTAACCCCCTCTGGAAAAAATGAACCTGCTGATACAGTCCCTAATTTAGTAATCCAGAAGAAAGCGTTGCATTTTTGACATTCGACTGCCTTTCCCTTACAAGTGTGTTCCTTGGGTCACCTCTTATTGTACTATTGCTTTTGGAGAACTTTTAAATGACAGGATCGCCTGTTCACATCTCCAAGGGCTTGTTTCATGGTCCCACCCTTGAAAGCTTTCCAAATGCCCTTGCTGTTGTGGAGAGAAATTGGCGTACTTTCTGTAGTACCTCCAGGTGGCAAATTCTTGTATTTTCTCACGGCAGGGAAGCAGCACATTTTTTAAAAAAACCACCAGAGCAAATTGCCACTGCTGACTTGTGGGAAGAAGAGGAATAAAAACTGTCTCCACGCCTTTTCTTACCATAGTCAAGGGGCAAGAAGGAGCCCTGTGGTGGCCTTCTAGACAAGCCAGACCGGCATTAAATTGATGAGGGATGTAAGGAAACTGATAGTGAGTCAAAGAAAAGCAACACGGGGGTTGAAATGATGCAAAATAGTACCTTTCCACAGACCCTACAAGAAATGGGCTGCTTCCGCCTGAAGAGAAGTGTTGGGTTGAGGTCCGATAGGCAAGCTGGGCCAGAGCCGGGGCGAGTTCTCCCGAATCCTGGGATTTGAAAGTGCCCCCTCTTCCCAGGAAGGTTGACAGCTGACCAGGACGCTTGCTGTGGATGGCCGACCGCTGCGTGTAGCTGCCACAGAAGGTTGTGCGAGGTGTGTCAGGCCGGTCAGGGCTTCTTTCTCTTTGTAAAGGGCTCCCGGGTACACTATTGCGATGCCGATTGCGAGGTCCTGGAAATGTCCTCTCTGTCTCCCCCCCCCCCCTCTGCTGCCATCTTCAGTCGGGGACCATCCAAGCATCTTACAGTCCACCCAGACAGAGCAACCTCCCCCTGGAGAACAGGACTGACACATGAGGGGTGCTAATGGATCCCAATATGGCCCCGCTTGTGTCCTTTCCGTGCTTACCGTCTGACGGAGTCTTCTAGTACATGAGGTAACAGTGGGATGCATGCAGGTTCTAGGCCAGGATGCAGTGATGTTCCAGAGAGAGAGCACAGCTCTCTGGCAAGGAACGATGTCCCTGTACTGCTCCCTGTCACGACCATTTGTCATGTCGGCGCCGTCCTCTGCTTTTGCCGACTTCAAGGCACACTTCTAGGACTTTTTAAGGCATCCTTTCATTTTGCTGATGAAGCTAGTTTGAGGGGTAGGCTGAAAATTGTGAAAGCTATTGTGTGGGTTTCCTTACAACTTAAGTTGAACGTTTGTCTAAGGTTTTATGACTCATCCAGTCATGGAGCATGGTTACTATGAGTAGAAATTTTGTATTCTGGTCAGAGGAGTCCAGGAAACCAAAACTTGAGTTTGTTTAAGATCCATAATGTTTGTAGCTTATTTTGACGTGTGTATTTATAGTGTGGTATGACATCTATTTATGTGCCCAAAATGTCCTGTCTTGTCTCGGGAATGCCTAGTTTGATGGGAAGTGTATAAAACTTAGGTTCAGAATTGACTTGTATGTCTTCAGGAAAGTGACTGAGTTTACTGACCATTCACTGCTCGCTCTCTGGAAAGTGGATTAAGTACCTCATAGGGTGTCTGTGAAAAAGTAGCAAGATACCATGAAGGTGAATGCCGAGCTTGGTACCTGGCAATAAACGTTCCAACTGTTCCTTTAATCAGCAGAGACTACAAGAAGCAGGTATAGTGATACTTTTCTCTCCATTTTGTTTTCCAGCCACAGGACAAAGTCTTCAGGCTGGCCGCCTCCCTCCGGAACCTGGGGTTTGAACCAGGTCCCTCCCTATGGATGGGAGATGATGGCAAACCGGGATGGCCGAGACTGCTTCATCAAGTAGGTTGAACATTCTTGGCTTTTTGTATGTCTCTATCTTGACCCTTTTCTCAGGAGAATTAACATACGTAAATTAGGAGCCCAGAGGCATTGGGTGGTCAGGACTCAATGCAGCTTGTTCCTCTGTGGCTTCCGTATCCTGTGACTTGAGGAAGCTTTGCTCATGGACGGGCACCATCTTAGAGTAACATTTCTCTGTGTCCCCTGGTAATGCTGGTCCAGGGCACAAGATTCATTTGTCAGTCCCCATCGGTAGTACTCATTGTCTTAGGCTAGTAATGAACATTGGGTTTGGGAGAATATCATTTAGAAAACATTCTAGGAATGGTCAAGACAAAAATTTTGTTGGCTCGTCTGTAACTAAAATAATCGACTAAAAGGATCGTGTGCATTACTGATGATAGTATAAATTTTTTATCATCAACATTGCCTAAGGTTTTGGATTTTTGTGGTCCTATATGTTGTTTTTTAATTGTGACAAAACAATGATTATGATATATATGGTTTATATATAATGGTTTGTCACATATAACATTGATAAATTTTATTTGCTGTTTTTCAGTGTATATTCTAGTGATAGTATACTCATTTACAGTTTTGTGCAACCAGCACTGTCCATTTCAAGAATTTTTTCATCTCCCATTGGAAACTTTGTACCCACTAAGCCTTAACCCACAGCTCCCCCTCCCACAACCCCAGGTACCCTCTATTCTACTGTCTGTCTCTATGAAATTTGACAATAAGGCACCTCATTATAAGTGGAATCATATCATAGTTGTCCTTTTGTGTCTGGCTTACTTCATTTACAGTGATGCCCTCACAATTCATCCATGTTGTAGTATCTATCATAATTGCATTGCTTTTTAAGACTGAATAATATTCCACTGTGTGGACACAGCACATTTATTTATCCAGCATTATGTCAATGGACATTTGGGTTGTTCTCCCATTTGGCTCTTGTGAATGATGTTCTGTGAACACTGGTGTGCAAGCATCACTCTGCATCCCTGCTTTCAGTTCTCTTGAGTCTATCCTACCCCTAGGATGGAACTGCTGGCTCATATGGTAATTCTAAATTTATGTTTTTGAGGAACCACCAAAATGGTTTCCATGGCTGTTGCCTTTGTTCTGTTTGTGGGTTGTTTTTTTTTTTTTTTTTGCATTTGTTTGAGAAAGTGATTATATTGTACTTGTCAAAACATTAATGGTCTGCCCTCCTCCAACCTCAGTGAAATATTCTTAATTATGATTAAGTTGTGAAATTGATTTGCAATCAGGAAGCTTGGTTGGCCCTAGTCTAATACAATGGAGTGGAAATTGGAGACTAAAAGGAATGGTCTTTCTCATCAAGGCTGCATTCTGTGCTAGCCAAACTGCTGTGGACTGATGGGCAAACATGGGGTCACCGTGAGATGAAGATCATGTTGATAAAATTAAGACTACCTCCATGTCAGAAATGTTAGCATGGAACTAGAGACAAAACTCATATAGAATGAGTTTCCCAGGCTCTGCAGCCCAAATCTCTCCCTTTTTGGAATCGCAGAGAAAGTCTTCATAAAAATTTGTTGGTCTGGGGCTTGCCTCTTGAGCCCATCCTGGGAAGATTCAGGTTGCCCTTGAACATGACCCACTCCAGGGAGCATGTCGAAAGTGGCCCTCTGCCACTTCAAGGCTTCGCTGAGGATATGTTCACACAGAAACTATAATGGTAATAGCAGTGACAGCAGAATCTTCCAGAAAGCTTGAAGACTGGAAGAAAGGCCAGTAATTTTGTTTATACCTTGGATTCCAAATTTTAATTTCATAGCATTTACCCAAGTCCTTTATTGTCCTAGAAAGAGCATATTTTTTGATATTATACTCTGCCATCTGTTTGGTAACATGGTTATTGTAATTGACTCAGTTGAGGTGCCCTAGATGTTTTAACTGGAAACTATAAAACTTTCTGCCCATGAAATGTAAATTTTAAAAATACATAGATTATGAATTTATGAAGATATATTAAAATGGAATTTTCTTTTTCCGTGGTAGGATTTGGATTCCCATACATTCCAGGCCATGTGATGAGTAAGATAGAAACCCAAACCGAGGCCTCTTGGTTGGAGATCCCGGGAGCCTCAGCTAGCTCTATCTCTGTGCAGTTTCATTAGCGTCATTGACATTTTTAAGGGCTAGACCAGGTGTCTCTCTAACATTTACACTGGCCTAATGCCAGCTGTTAAAACATGCAAGAGCAAATCAGCAACTTAATTGAGAAACCTGCACTGATTTCCAAATGGCAAGTTTTAGAACCTCAGTTACCAATGTCACTTTTCCAAATCTGTGGGGTTTTTACTGATAACGCTGGGTTTCAGTCTTCTCAGAGACATGGTTTGAAGATGCCAAGAACCATACTTTGTCAGAAAGTGTCGGTTCTTTATCACTAATGAGAATCATTCTGATTTTTTTTTTTTTTTACCTACCAAGTTGCATCCATTACAGAGATACTCTAATTACTAGAATTTCCGGGGAGTCTGCAGTTTTGAGCATTTCTATACTCATTAGCTTTAGAAGTTAGAAGAACAATTTGAAAATTAATCTGTGGTTTGTAATTAGCACCTTTGCATTTAATTTTTCAGTCGTTTACATATTCTCTTTGAACAAGATTAGATGTCTGCTTTGTTTTCATCTCGGCTGGTATCTCAACAATAACCCACATCAGGTGATTGTTTTGATGGAGGTAAAAGTACTTGTGAGGGATGGAGGAGGCTGTGGGGGGAGTCAGCGTCACGTGCAGAGTGGGAGTCTCACAGCTGAGTAAAGAGATCGTTCTGTATTAGAACAGGGCCCATGGTTTTCAGCTTCCGTCTTCCTTCTCCTGTCCCCAGTTCTTTAGGGTAGGACTGGATACCCTACTTTCTATAAAGATAATAACCCATGGGGTAAAAATACACATTGTAACAATTGTGTATATTGTAGTATTACATGGTCTGCAAGCTGGTGTCTCCCAATCTCAGCTGCACATTGGAACGGCCCAAGGAGCCATTTGAGGTGCAGTAAAACACCCTGATGTCTGGGTGTGTTGACAGTTTGGGTTGCTCTAATGACATATCACAAGCTGGATGACTTCAACACGGAAAGTTATTTCTCACAGTTCTGGAGGCTGGGAAGTTCAAGACCAGGGCGGCAGCATGGACAGGTTCTTGATGAAGGTCCTCTTTGTGGCGTGTAGTCAACTTCCTTCTCTGTCCTTGAGAGAGAGGCGATGATGTGTGTCTCTGCTTAGGAGAGGACTCATTCCATCCTGAGGGCGCTGCATCTTTAGTACCTATTTACTTCCCCAAAGGTTCACCTCCATATACCATCACAGTGAGGAATTGAGGCTTCAACATGGGGATTTGGGGGCGTGTAAACTTTCAGTCCATAGCTCTGGGTCTGGGTGAGAGCCCATGATTAGTTTCAGAATCTCCCTGGCTGAATCTGATCAACAGCTATCGTTGCTGCTCTAAAGCCCTTATGTGCATGTGACTTCTAATACGGAATAATCATGCCATTTGCTAGATGATGAGATGAAGATTTGTACTAATCAGATAACTGGCCCAAAGTTTACACACATGTGCCCAGTTGGCTTCCATTGCCTGTTCCACACACCAATTCCCCATTAAGAAAGGATGACTGTTGTTGACACTCCTACAGAAATTTGAAATACGCTTTTTTGAGGAACAGAGATCACTGATTAAAATATGACAGGTGCTAAGTAAAAATTTCTCAGTTCCTTATTGTTACCATGTAGGAGAGAGAGAAAGGGAACGCAGGGTGGGGGAAGGGAGAGGTGGGGAGAGAGAAACTACACGGATGATAGTCTCAGAACGGGGGGGTGCTCTGCTAAAAAATGGATGAAATGGAGAGATGGATACAAAGAGCATGAGGAGAAACAGATAAAGCGAGGTACTCTGAGGTAATATTATCATAACAGCATCAATAAATTGTAGTTGTAGGAGTAAATACGGATGCGGGTAGATAAAGGTATAGTTGCAGATGTACGTGGTTGCAGATCAGATGGATATGGGTGTGGATACTGACATATTTAGACAGCTGTGGCTATAGAGACCCAGGTGTTGTTCTAGATAGCTATAAATTAGTAAAGAACATGGATATGTAACAGATGCGTGACCACACAGCCAGTTTTGGTTGGGCATTATCGTTCTGACAGAATTACTGAGAGCGCCTCCCTTTGCTCTGACTTAGATAAGGTGACTCTGTACATCACTGTCAAGGTTTAGAATATACTCGCAGGGCATAAAATTTCCTCTAGTCTTTGCAGCTCTGCTGTAAGGTAGTGAAGGCACAGAGGACACGGAGGACTCTCGCCATGTGCGCGAGGTGGGTTCTCCACGGCCAGTGGTGGGCGTCACTAGTTTTGCTTCATATCTTCAAACTCTAAGACCTCAAGCCTTTGGGCTGCATAATGGGGCTCAGTCCATGCCAAAGCGCCTGTATTCTGCAGCTGTGCTTCCCACTCTTGGGGTTACCCAGCCCTGTCACTGTGTGCTCAGCTCAGCTCGCCTCCCCAGTCCCTTTTGTACGCCTGCCCCTGACTCAGCATCCTTAAACCTGGGCCTGCTCAGCCTCCTCCTCTGCTCTCATGCTGACTTCAGTTCTCCTGGGCCCTGCCCCCCACCCGTCCACCCAACATTGATTGCACATTGATTGAATTCAACGTTGACTGAATGCTAAAAATACCAAGAATAGCAAGACAAGCTCTTACCTTCAAGGACCTTAGAGTGTGGTGGAAGTGATAAATAAAATAAGAGAACATGCTTTAGAATCAGTAGAAGCCTGCTGGGAGAATGAACTTAATCTGTTGAAAGTTGGGGGGGGGGGGAGTGCAGCCCATTGCCATGGCTTCCCACGAGAGGCCAGCTGTCATTGTCAACCACGCTATGTCTCTTATCCTCATTAGAGACACGAAATATGTCTAATAGAGCACAGCGAGCACCATGTGTGACTTTTTATTTCCA